TAAAAGCTCCATTAAGCAAAACAGTTACTAGAAGTCAAAATTAGCAATACTGTAGCTGCAAGCCAAAACTAACAAAATAATAGCTAAAAGTTAAAATTGGCAGAACAGTAGCTACAATCTCCATTTAGCAAAACAGTAAATAGAAAACAAAATTAGCAAAACTGTATAGCTGCAAGCTAAAAGTAACAAAGCAATAGCTAAAAGCTAAAACTAGTCAAACAGTAGCTAAAAGCTCCATTAAGCAAAACAGTTACTAGAAGTCAAAATTAGCAAAACTGTAGCTGAAAGCTAAAACAAAAAAAAAAGATACAAGATAAAACTTGCAGAACAGTAGCTAAACCTCAATTTAGCAAAAATGTAAATATAATTTCTAAATTAGCCAAACTGTAGCTGAAAGATAAAGGTGACAAAACAATAGCTAGAAGCTAAAACTAGTCAAACAGTAGCTAAAAGCTCCATTAAGCAAAACAGTTACTAGAAGTCAAAATTAGCAATACTGTAGCTGCAAGTGAAAACTAACAAAAAAATAGCTAAAAGCTAACAAGAAAACAAGTATGCTGAAGTAAATTTTAAAGAGAATAAAGTAAAAAGTTGAATAATTCAGAAAGTATAAAAGTTACAGTTACGTAACATCAGAGCCGTATTATTCTAAACGAGCTGAACAGTTCGGTACCTGAATGGCTTAAATTGCTGAAAATGTGCTCGGTTAATTAGCGACGGCTCAGCATTCCCAGTAAAGTAGGGGTGATGTCCTCATTATCTTTTGACTGATCTGATAAATAATTACTGTTAATGAGAACTAGAAAGTTTTTCTTTCCTGCGATCAAAGTCCTGACGTAAAAGTTACACATCAGAAAAAGGAAAGACTTTTTTTTTTTTTTTTATCAGAGAGAAACAGTGTTCCCAACACTTTTCCATAGAATCAACAAAAATCAGTTGGAAGTTCTTTTGCTATTTTCTTTTCAATAGATTTTCTTGTTTGTTTAATAAATCTCTAAAAAAAACCGCAATTATTTCACAACCGCTACCATATGGTTAATTTTATGTTTGCACATAACCGATTTGTTCGTGGTTTTGTCTAAACCTCATTTGGCACTTCTTTTCTTTGTTGCAGACAGCGTCGAGGTCAGATTCTCTACGACTCGGGACAAATGCTCCGGTAATATTCAGATACTTTATGAGGGCAGGTGGCATCCAGTGCTCAAGAGTTCTCTTGAAAATACTCAAACTCGAAACGCCATCTGTAAAGAGCTGAAGTGTGGCAACGCTCTCGCCGTTAATCCCTACTTTGGACCGGCACCAGCTGAGGATCATGTCATCAGCATAACAGAGTGTCGTAAAAATAATTTTTCATCTTGTCAAATAACTCCAGAGAACGCAGCAGCCTCACGTCAGCTGGGAGCGCTCCACTGCTCTGGTCTGTGTCATCAGTTCTCTCTTCTTTATGTTATTCATTTATAATCATCTTGAACAAAGAGTTTACACACATATAGAAACTTTCTATACAGCGATAATTTGTAATTCTGGCTAAAAGGCTATTTTCAGATTCTCACCGAGTGTTCAATATAAAATAATACGTGTTCTGTTTTATGGCTAGAAAAAGCAGAACGTTCAAGTCTGGATGGATATTTATAGATTTAGTGCTCATATTCTCTCAAATAATCTGCAAAAGTTCTATGATAAATTACGGTGTTTTAATCTCTACGTCCCGATGGATTATTTTAATTTTGAATACATTTCTAAACTTTAATCTTAGGCAGCAAAAGACCATTTTGTTTTAAATTTGTACCATTTAAATGAATTTCCCCCTACCCTAAAAACAAGCAGCTGTCTCAGGCTCTAAATTTAACCAACGTAGATTATATTTAATTTGCACAGCAAGTTAATGCCTTTGTCATAAACTTTGTCAGTTGGCTTTTAGTTTACCGCGATCTTTGTCCTATTTTGAATATTCAGTGTTGATGATGTTACATTGTACAGAATCTAAAAGAAGAATCTAAAAAATGTTTTTGGAAAAAAAAGAAATACATTTCATGTATTGGTACCACTTTACAAATAAGGCTCCCCTTATAAATGCTAATAAATACTTTATAGTTGCGTTATTAATTCCTCTATAAGCACTTTATAAATCATTATTAACTGTTTATTCTGCATTCATTAAGAGTGACAGAGAGACAAAACTGACCAGTTTCTTGCTAAATAGTGAGCCATATCTGTTCACCCATATATTTAATCTAGAATTGTTATATTAAACATTTCAGACTACCGTATTTTTCGGCCTATAAGTTGCAGTTTTTTGCATAATTTACATGCCCTGCAACTTTTACACCGAAGTGACATATTTATGAATTTTTTCCCATATTTAAACCAATTTTTGGCTGAGTTGTGACCGTGAGATGCCAATTGAGTAGTATGGCATGCTGTTGTGTCATTTAATAGGTAAAGCAGCTATTAATGACACAGTCAGCTTGCCATAGGTGCCACCTATGTCCAGTTTACCTGGAGCAACTGTCAAATCAGCTTCATTTCGCTGCGCCGCCCCAGTGAAATGCAGCTGATTTGACCATTAAAGTGCATTTATTAAGTAAAAGTTCAACTGAGACACAACTTTACTACAATGTTGAGCAAACAAATAATTGTTTTTAAGTGCTAATCTAGTTTAATTCTTATTAAAATCCTCCTGTGCATGCTCCCCCGGCCACCGTTTGGCAGCCAATCGATTTTTGACACAACGCCGCATACGGCGAAGCGACGTATACGGCGAAGCGACGTATACGGCGAAGCGACGTATACGGCGAAGCGACGTATTTATGTTGGTTTCCACTTTATTAGACATATTTGGACTGATGCGGCTTATATGGCGGTGCAACATGTATGGGGGGAAATACGGTAAGTTACTACCTTGTAAGCACAATAAGTATTTATTTATCACTGCATTATAAGTATCAACAACTAATATTATAGCCTAAAAAATTAGGTTTACAAATGCTTGTTGTGCTTACAAGATAGTAACTTAGCCTGAAATGTTTAATATAACAACTATAGATGAAATATAAAAGGTGAACAGATTTGAGTCACTATTTGGCAACAAACAGGTCAGTTTTCTCTCTCTTTCACCCTTAATTAATGCATAATAAGCAGTTATTAATGATTTATAAAGTGTCTATAAAGGAATTAATAATGCATCTGTAAACTATTTAGTAGCATCTATAAGGGGAGCCTTATTGCAAAGTGTACCGATGTATCTTTAAATCAATTTGGAGCTGAAAACTCATGCTGTTCTGTTTTTGGTCCTTCTGCTTGCCTCCAGGCTGGAGGAAGATGGCTTTAGAAGTTGATTACGCCTGTAAAGGTGAATTAAGTGTTTACTCCAAAGGAACCTCTGAAGACAAAAGAAGTGTCGTTTTCAGCCAAGACTGGCAAGAAGCTGAGGGGAAGAGGCTCTGCTTGGATATGAACTGTGGCAACTTCAAGAGATTTACAGAATTTCCTTTGGAAGCGTCTGAGACGGTCTGGAACAAAACCTTTACTTGTTCTTCTAACGCCACCAACATCTGGGACTGTGAAAAAGCAGCTGCTCCCACAGAGCAGAAAAAGCTCTACATCGAATGTGGCGGTAAGATTTATTTGGACCAGCTGGCTCTTTGATAACCAGAACTAACAAATTTACATATTGTCCCAAACTTGGGCATAATTTGATGTTATTGTGTGAATGTTTATGAAATATTCACATTATTGTTTCAATTCTCGTCCCACAGTTTTAAAACAATTTCAAGGAATCATAAATCAAAACGTTCAGCTCTTTCAGGACAATCCTATTGGTATTGGTGCAACTTTGGCTTTTTGAAATATTTAGCCTTTCTGCCATTTTTCCTCTCATAGAAAATGAATTGAGCTCATTTTTCATCCTTCACATCTTTAGATCTGTGTAAAACCTTTTACTGCCACTTTCACGTTTATTCTGCTTCAGCTTCTTTCAGCTTCCTTCTGCAAATTTAAACATTTTCAGCTGTTTTTCCAACTGTTTTGTGCTCCTTTCAGCTTATTTCTGCTAGTTCCAGTTATTTCAGCTGATATTTAGCCATTTGATGCTAATTTAAGCTTTTTCAGCTAATTCCACATCTTTTTCAGCCCCATTCAGTAGAAGTGTGCTCTCTCCACTTCCTTCTCATAATTTAAGCTTCTTTCTGATTTTTAGATACTTTTCAGCTGTTTTTATTTTGTTGCTAATTTCAGCTGTTTTCAGATTTAGTCAAATTTTTCATGTTAATGTCTGCAACTTGCAGACTAATCAACTTCTTTCTGCTAATTTCAGCTTGTTGTTCTCCTTTCAGAATTTTTTTCTGATAGTTTCAGCTTTTTCTGCTATTTCAGCTACTATTTAGCTGTTTTATGATCATTTTATCCTTTTCTACATCTACGTAATTTTAGCTCATTTCAGCTTTTTCCACTTCCTTCCTGGTAGTGTAAGCTTCTTTCTACCTTTTCAGCTACTATTCAGCTTTTTTTAATTTTTTGCTAATTTCCAAATTTTTGTGCTAATTTCTGCTAATTTAAACCAAATTCTGCAAACGTGTGCTCTTCCTGCTTTCTTCTGCTAATTTAGGCTCTTTCTTAATTTCATCTACATTTCAGCATGTTTTTAGCTCATTTCAGCTGTTTTTCAGCTATTTTATTTATTTATTAACCTTTATTTAACCACACCAGTCCCACTGAGATCACAATACAACATGCATGTTTTTGATCTGTGGGAGGAAACTGGAGAAAACCCATGCATGCACGAGAAGAACATGCAAAGTCCACACAGAAAGACCCGAGGTCTAACAGGGGATTGAACCCAAGACCTTCTTGCTGTGAGGCAACAGTGCTAACCACTGAGCCATCCTGCTGCCAATAATGCCATAAGCTTTCACACGCCATTTTCCCAGGAAATGCAATTTCAATTTCTTAAATTCAATGTCTGCAAAAAAAAAATTTGTGTGGTTTTCTTGCTATGACCACCACATCTGCACAACGTATGAGTCCTTCTTTAATTTAGGATAAATGCAACATTTGTGGTAAAAGAGCAAACCGGACTTGTGTAAATCTGTAAGCTGAACTAAATCAAAGTCTCAAAAGATATCGAGATTTAAACGTAATTTTAAAAAGACTTCTACTGTCAAAAGACGAAGCGTTTCAATGAAGAAGAATCCGTCCAGAGGACCTGACTCAACCTTGTTAGACCTTTGTGTCCGTTCCTGACTGTTCCTTAATCTGTACGATGATCAGTGTCAACTTTTCTTTTTATTGCTTCCTTTCCTAGTTGAGCCGAATGTCAGTCTTTCAAAACCGTGCGCCGGAGTGGTGAGTATAGACGGCGTCCCAGTGTGCGACCGGCAGTGGAAGCTTGAATATTCACACAGGGTTTGTCAACAACTGAACTGCGGCAATGCCATCGAGGGACTTTTGGAAAGTAGACCTGCTTCGAACAAAGAATCTTACCACGTCCGCTGCGATGAGCACAATTACATCATCGGTCAGTGTCACAGAGTCAAAGGACGGTGCCAGAACGTTGTCTCCATTTACTGTACTGGTAAGTTCAATTTAGTCCTCCTCTTTGAAGCCAAATCATTCACTTTGCTAAATATTAAACTGCACAGTAACTATAAATGTATTTTAGATAACAGTACTATAGAGAGTAGCATCAAATGCGTTTTAGACTTAGTGATAATTATTCATATTTTGCTACGTATCAAACATTTGTTGGAAGAAGCTCTAAAGCAATCTGTCAAGAAAGAGCCAAATAAAAGCCTCATAAAATAAACCTGTTAAAATCCATGGAGTTCGCCAACTCTCATTTGTTCTTCTTCTATGGATTAAATCATAAACATGTCATAAAAAAATATATATATAAAGAATATTGACATAAATCATTTTGTATCACACATCAGGTCATGTTGATCCTTAAATTTTCATGTAGAAAATGGATTTGACAGGAAGCAGCTGAGAGATAAGAAGTTTAGCATAGAACCAAACTTGGCGCCGACAAAACTCATAAAGTCGCTTGTTTACTACGCAGGTGTTTACTGAAAAACAAACAGCACGTCTTTTGTTGTGTCAGTGTTTTAAAGCCGTTAGCCTTTAGCTTCCCAGACATACAGCCGATTTGCCAAATTGATCATGTCGCAAATTGTTATTCCCGATGTCTTCTTTGCGTTACAGGCAGCGTCTCGTTCAACACCACGAAAAAGTGCAGCGGTCAAATAACGATTAACTACGACGCAAACAGAAACCGAAGGTTGTGCAAAGCCAACGTTTCTGATGCGTTGCTGAACAACACGTGTCAAAGGAGCGGCTGTGGTTCTTTTACCAGAAAACATCTGTCCAGCTCAGACAGGAAGGTAACACTTTATTTTTATTGTTCAACTTTGTTTTGGGTTCCTGTGAAGAGTTGGATCATTGTTACAGCTACACTCTGCAACAAATGCAGTTTCAAGCAAAAACTCCTTAAAACACAAGTTCTTAAAGAGATTTCAGTCGCATTAAAAGCTAAAAAGACTTCACTGACTTGTGACCTAATATGTTTCCTGTCTGCCTCTGTGTTTCATCAACAAACTGTTTTGTCTGAACGTTTATGAAGCATTCGCACTGCGCTGATCCGTTTTTATTCCGTACAGTTGTCGGTGCGATTCTCGTCCTGCAGATTTCAACAAATCATAAATCAAAATGTTCGGCTCTTTCAGGACAATCCTGACTTTTGTATTGGTGCAACTTTAGCGTTTTGAAATATTTAGCCTTTTCTGCCATTTTTTCTTCATAGAAAATGAATCGAGCTCATTTTACGTCCTTTGTATATTTATATCTGTTTTCAGCCTTTTACTGCTCCTTTCACATGTTGTTCTGCTTCAGCTTCTTTCAGCTTCCTTCTGCAAATTTAAACTTTGTTTGTCGGCTCTTTTCAGCTAATTTCAGCTGTTTTTTCAGCTGTTTTGTGCTCCTTTCACATTCTTTCTGCCAACTACAACATTTTTGTGCTTCTTCTAACGTCTTTCTTTTAATTTCAGCTTGTTGCTCTTTTCAGCTTATTTATGTGTTTTATTTTTCTCTGCTATTTCAGCTATTATTTAGCTGGTTTATTATGCTAATGTAGCTAACTCCACATTTTTTGCAGTCATTTAAGCTTTTTTCAGCCTAATTCAGCAAAAATGTGCTCCCTCCACTTCCTTCTGGTAATTTAAGCTTATTTCTGATTTTTTTTAGCTACTTTTCAGTAGTTTTTTTTTTTTTTTCGCTAATTTCAGCTTTTATCAGATAATTTCCCTGTTTTTTTTTATTTCTGTTTCTCTCAGTCTAATTGGGCAAACATGTTTTCTTTCTACTTTCTTCTGCTAATTTAAGCTTTTTTTTTTACCTTTTCAGCAAGATTTTTTTTTAGCATTTTCTAGCTAATTTCAGCTAATTTCAGATATATTCAAGTTTTTAATGGTAATTTTTGCTACTTTCAACCTAATTAACTTATTTATGGTAATTTCAACTTGCTGTGCTCCTTTCAGCTTTTTCTGCTATTTTAGCTACAATTTAGCTGTTTTATGCTAATTTTAGTCTTTTCAGTTACTTCCACATTTGTAGCTCATTTCAGCTCTTTCCACTTCTTTCTGGAAGCTTTAGCTTCTTTCTACCTTTTCAGCTACTTTTCAGCCTTTTTTTTAATTTTCAAGTTTCTGCATGCTTGTGCTAATTTCTAATAGCTTATATGTAATTCATCAAAAATGTGATATTTCTACTTTCTTATGTTAATTAAAGCTTGTTCTTTCATTTTAGCTGCAATTCAGCAATTCTTTTAGCTAATTTCAGCTGATTTTCAACAAGTTCTGCAACAATAAACATTCACACTGCATTTTTGCAGGAAAAGCAATTTCTCTAGTCGTTATTATTATTATTTGTCGTGTGTATTTAAACTTGTGTGATTTGAATTTTATTACAGGATAATGTTGAAGTAAGCCTGCAATGTCCAAGCATCTACAGAGACATGAGGTACTGTGTCAAAAAGGAGGCCTGTGAAACTCCATCTCCACTCCTCATTGAATGTGAAGGTAACCAGAACCTTCAATAAACTACCAACACGCCCATTCTTTTGTCTGTGCAAAGAAATAAAGTTACTGTATTTTGTTAATAATCCAACTATGTGTAGATTAACAAGATAAAATTGAGTAATTGTCCAACTTTTACTTTTCTGTTTTGAATTTCAGACTTTGAGTCTGCTCTCGAAGTTATCACGCAAAAACCAACAAACCCAGTTCCTATCCTGGTGGGAGTGGGAATTGTTCTCGTCCTCGTTATGTTGATTGTGATATTTATCAGTTATCGCATTATCTTGAGAAACCAGAAATCCAGAGTTCTGTGTGAGTATTTTTTATTTTTGAACATTTCCAGTTGAACTCAAACTGATCATTCATTTGACTTTCAATGAATTCCATTTGGAAAAGTCACGTCAGGCTCAGTCGGTTTCAGAGTCCTGAAGCTTCTTTACCTGTAGGGGGAAATCTTCACTCAGTCAGTGTTGGATTTTCACTGGTTTTACGCTCTCATGTTCCTGATGTGCATTGAAACCCTGCACGACAGATGTTGTCCCAGCCTGTATCATTGAATATATGTTTTTCTACTTCAATTTAGCAAATATGCTGCCACAGCAGGAAGGTGAGTGGGAAAGTGGAGACTATGAAGTTATGGACAAAGAAGAAATCGAAGACTGTAGTCATGACAGTGAGTTTCAAAACATTGTAATTAATATGCTTCCTTTAAACAAACGCTAAAAAATACATACATATATATATATATATGTATGTATGTATATGTATGTATGTATATGTATAATTATTTTTGGTGTTGGTTTCTCTGATTGAAAATGTCTCTTGCTGTTGTTTCATGCAGGATTCAGATCAGAATCTGAAATTAAAAGAGACAAAGACGTAGAAAGCCATGCCTCGCTCAGTTACGACGATATCGAGGAGGTGGCTGAAGCTCAGCCCCTGACGTCGCCAGGATCTACGGATGCTGCTGCCCCAGAGGATAAAGTTCCTAACACAAGCGATGGAAAGTTTTTAACCAGTTTTAATCTCGTCCTTTTCACGTCAGAATTCCTCCCTGTAACGTGTGCAGCCAGAAAACTGACCGATGTGTGAATGCTTTCTACAGATTTTGTGTCGTACGAAGTGGACGACGCTCAGGAGAACTGTGGCGACATTGATGCGAGCCCCGAGCTAGCCCAGACCAGGGCTGAGGTCCACAACAGGGTTGAGACCTCACCAGGAACTGATGCCGCTGCACCTCAAGACTCTGAACAGAAAGAGGATTACCTGGTTCCTGGTCGAGATGGGTGAGACGACACTGGGTTGAAATTCTCATCGGAGAAAATGTAGCGTGGAGAATTGGACTGAATATATATGTATATATATATATATATATATATATATATATATATATATGAGCAAGTATGATATATACAAGATATAATGCAGCTAAATGATGAAAAATATTTCTACAACCAGCGGAAAAATCTAAGTGAAATGAATTTAAATACATTCCCAGATAAATAAACAAACTTAAAGATTATAAATTGTAAATTATTTTAACAACAGCATAATTGAAATGCTTTATTTGTATGCTTTTTCAGTTATGATCAAATAATCCAGCCTTTATTTGCTGACCGCTTTAACACTTTTTTATTATTTTTTATTATGTTTCTACTAGTCAGTGATTGTTTTAGGACTTTGATTATTTGTTGTAATGTTTGTTTGTTTGTTTTTTTTAGGTACATATGACAATTAATCTAATTGGACAGCTCAGTTCTGCTTAGCTCATTTCATTGTAGACTGATTTAGAATCAGATTATAATCTAATGAACGTCACTCCCTTTTGGTCGATTTAAAAAAATACGAGTTAAAGGTACTCCTGCTTTGGTTTTAGTTTTCAGAGCGGGAGGCTACGTCCTTCTTTGTTGAAAAATACTGTTTGTCATTTATAGTTTTGAGTTCGATGCTAAAACAGCAGCACATTTAAATTAATCATAACCTAAAAGTGTGTTAGATTAGCCTGTTAGCATCAGATAGTGGGTGAGCTCATGCTAAGTTCAGCTGGTAACAGTGTCTACATACTATCAAACGACTGCGAGTCCATTTTTATAGATGGTCACCGGACAAGATGTTCCTTCCCATGTAACTACATATATAAATATATATTGTAACTATAACAACATGAGTTAGCCATAGTTGTCATATTTTTTATTTTCTCAAGTAGCTCACTGCTGGTGACCAGAGACACAAAATGTACAAGTATTTACTTAAAAATTCACAAAGTTGGAATTTATTGAACAAAAGGTTTGTGTCCGCACGTTCAGATAATAATGAATAAATTGTGACCGTCCTGCGACTGATTCAAACTTATTTGTCACAATTAGTTCCCGGTTGTCATTTATTCTCTTTAATCTTCTAGACAAGTTTAGTTATTGCCAAACAGTTTACATTTCTTACACTTTGTGACCTGCACAGACTAAACTGAGAAGGTTTATTAAGACGTGTTTCAGACCCACGGGGGGAAACGAAGAATTGTTGCAAAAACACAAAGTTTGTTTTCTCAGTCATCCAGGTATATAACAACAAAAAAGGTTGAATCATGTCATCTGGACTTCGTTTTTTTGTT